AGGTTGAATGTGAACGCTGGGCACACCCAGATGTGGGCGGAGTTTGCCACCGCTCTCATAACTCGGTTCCTAGAAGTTCCGGCGACCGGGGAAAATGTGCATAAGTATTGAGGTATGGAGTAGGGTTGAATGCCATTGTTGGGCTAAGCATGCACCAAAGTGGGCGGGGTCTGCCTTAGAAATTCGTGACTCATAACGCCATTTACAAGACCTCATAATTCGGCTCCGAGATGACTTAGAGACCTGAAAAAAATATGCCTGAGGTGAAAGTAGGAGTAGAGGTTGAATGTGAACGCTGGGCACAGCCGGATGTGGGCGGAGTTTGCCACCGCTCTCATAACTCGGTTCCTAGAAGTTCCGGCGACCGGGGAAAATGTGCATAAGTATTGAGGTATGGAGTAGGGTTGAATGCCATTGTTGGGCTAAGCATGCACCAAAGTGGGCGGGGTCTGCCTCAGAAATTCGTGACTCATAACGCCATTTACAAGACCTCATAATTCGGCTCCGAGATGACTTAGAGACCTGAAAAAAATATGCCTGAGGTGAAAGTAGGAGTAGAGGTTGAATGTGAACGCTGGGCGTGGCACACCCGGATGTGGGCGGAGTTTGCCACCCGCTCTCATAACTCGGTTCCTAGAAGTTCCGGCGACCGGGGAAAATGTGCATAAGTATTGAGGTATGGAGTAGGGTTGAATGCCATTGTTGGGCTAAGCATGCACCAAAGTGGGCGGGGTCTGCCTCAGAAATTCGTGACTCATAACGCCATTTACAAGACCTCATAATTCGGCTCCGAGATGACTTAGAGACCGCACAAATCTGACTGAAAGAGATAGAAGTAATGGAAGGGGCGTGGCACACCGGATGTGGGCGGAGTTTGCCACCGCTCTCATAACTCGGTTCCTAGAAGTTCCGGCGACCGGGGAAAATGTGCATAAGTATTGAGGTATGGAGTAGGGTTGAATGCCATTGTTGGGCTAACCATGCACCAAAGTGGGCGGGGTCTGCCTCAGAAATTCGTGACTCATAACGCCATTTACAAGACCTCATAATTCGGCTCCGAGATGACTTAGAGACCTGAAAAAAATATGCCTGAGGTGAAAGTAGGAGTAGAGGTTGAATGTGAACGCTGGGCGTGGCACACCCGGATGTGGGCGGAGTTTGCCACCGCTCTCATAACTCGGTTCCTAGAAGTTCCGGCGACCGGGGAAAATGTGCATAAGTATTGAGGTATGGAGTAGGGTTGAATGCCATTGTTGGGCTAACCATGCACCAAAGTGGGCGGGGTCTGCCTCAGAAATTCGTGACTCATAACGCCATTTACAAGACCTCATAATTCGGCTCCGAGATGACTTAGAGACCTGAAAAAATACGCCAGAGGTGAAAGTAGGAGTAGAGGTTGAATGTGAACGCTGGGCGTGGCACACCCGGATGTGGGCGGAGTTTGCCACCGCTCTCATAACTCGGTTCCTAGAAGTTCCGGCGACCGGGGAAAATGTGCATAAGTATTGAGGTATGGAGTAGGGTTGAATGCCATTGTTGGGCTAACCATGCACCAAAGTGGGCGGGGTCTGCCTCAGAAATTCGTGACTCATAACGCCATTTACAAGACCTCATAATTCGGCTCCGAGATGACTTAGAGACCTGAAAAAAATATGCCTGAGGTGAAAGTAGGAGTAGAGGTTGAATGTGAACGCTGGGCGTGGCACACCCGGATGTGGGCGGAGTTTGCGGCGTAAGTAAGATGTACCGAGCAGAAAGCTAAAATCAAGACAAAAATACTGATGGGCCCGATTTTACCGCTGCAGCCCCGTCTCATGCACGCGAATGCGTGCGCAGCCAAACTGGTATATATCCTCGCTTTTGCCATACATTATAACCCGAGAAATTCACCTCTCAATATAATGTTTGCTACAGCGTTCGAAATTAGTAAAATATTAGGTCGGTCCATAAGTCTTGCAACAAACTGGCCGAATTTTGAATTTAATATTTTCATTATCTTTTTGTTCCATTCATCCGGCATGCTACCTCCATCAATATCTACAACCTATTGCCAACACACTAGTAGCTGCTCGATGCCTCCCTTGTAGGACTCTACTGAATTCTGATCGAAGAAAGATCAGATGTCGATTTTGACATCATCATAGTTAGGATGAGCTTTCTTCTCTAGGAGATGGTTTGGAGAGGGGAGCAGAAGGGCATTATTTGCCTCGAGGTCAGGGCTATAACGTGAATACGGAAGAACTCCGTCCTAGAGTCTCAAAATTTTCCTGAATTTTCTTAGCAAGAGGTGGTTCAACGGTGTCATACAAAAGCAAACTTTGCCTTGTTTTTCTTTCGTATTAAAGCGTTGCATTCGAGCTGTGGATAGTTGACTTTCGCGTTGACTGCGACATCTACACGGAGGGGTTTCCAGAGCTTAACTCCTCCCGTGTTCCACCAAAAATCCGAGAAGGCCCTACTTGGACGAGGTTGAACTTAAGCAATAAGATCTCCCGAAGCGTTTGAGCTGGACTACCGCCGCTTGTTCATTTGTTAGTAAACTGTACCCACTCCTCATCTTCGGCAAATGTGATGGATGGTCAATCGTAGAATCCCTAGTAAGTCGACTTGAACATAACGGTGTCAGATCGTGTTTGGAGCTGAATCGGGCTCAAGGCACGTGGGGACCAAACTCTACATTTTCGGATCTTCACAAGTCTTTGGAGATGCCACAGTGCTGTCTCCTTGTCGCATCGGAATCGCTCTAGCAAATGATCGATACTCTATCCAGATCCCTTTTCAACGCCGTCAGATATAGCATCGTGATTGTCAGTCACAGGGTGGTTGGAGTGTGGGTTATTTTCAAATAAAAAAAGTCAACGCTGAGCAGAGTGAAGCGCCGTTGCACTGTGGTTTGAGAGAGCGTGCCCTCGCCTATCTTCTGGCCAATCCTTGGTCTAGCATGACTTGCGGAACATTCCAAGCAGTACTCGTAAAAATTAAGGGCACGAGAGCCCTCTCGCGAAATCGGTGTAATATCCATAATAAGTAAGCAGACAACGAGCTGGACCGTTGGCTGAAATTGCAAAGGTTGATGCTACGTCAGGAAATATGTTGCGGATTTTCAGGAGTTCTCCCTAAAATTCTATAGCATTAAATGTAGTTTGTTGCAAGACTTATGGACCGACCTAATATATAAAAGATAAAGTGGAATTGCTCAAATAACTCCAACGAGTCGTGCCGTGCTTCCGAGTGACGGGGCAATGACTCACATCGACGAGCGCCAAGTGTTGTGAATAGTCGCTGTCTACGTCTCGCTGGCACCCTGTGCTCTCTCGTCTACAAGTCTGTTACCTCGTCATGATGCACTCTATTTCCTTTTTGTTGACTTGTTCACTGCTCCTAGAACGAGGACCCTTATTTTTAGCGTTTCCGGGCTTACCATTATTTTTTCTCCACTTACATACGTCCCAGTATCTTCACTTTCATTTTCTCTGCATTGATTATAGCTAGGCATCTGTTTTTCCTACACATTGTTGAACAACCAATCCACCTCCTTCATTATATCCAAAAACAAATTTTGTTCAGGAGTCGAGGGAAAAAGTCGGGACGGAAATCAGCTTCACAACTCGCTCGAAAGCAGATCAAACGGTTGGCCTTGGTTACGATTTCTTTCACTTTTCCTTTGTGAAGTTGGGACTTGAGGTATTTACTGCTTTCAGGTGTCTCATCTCTGAAGGCCCTCAGCCCTGAACTGAAAAGTTTGCTTCACAAAGCTGCTAAAGGAAGTGTAGGTCTTTTGAAAGCTTCTATAGAGATAATTAGTTAGTAAATGGAAAATTCACGACAATTTTGATTAACGGGAATGCTCTCATTCTATAGCAAGCCAATCCCTGGTCTTATGCGTTTTTTTTCTGAAGAGTAGAATGTGGTCAGTTTCTGGCCCAGGTTCATTGGCTGATGAGGTCAGACTTGGCTTTTTGGTAACATCTGCGTTGACATTCGTTCTTGGAATGCGCCGTGCACTCTATTTCCATTTGAACTCGCAGAGTTATTGGAAAAAGTTCTTCACCCACCCACTGCCCAGGAGATGAGCTCATTATGAGTTAGCTCCTTCTCTCTCATGGAAGTAGATGCATAAGGAA